GCCCAGGTGGGCAACAGCACTTGGACTGTCACAGCCGTGGTGTGCCCAGAAGGCCCAGCATGGTTCCTTGTGCTGGCACTGCTGAGGTAGCTCCAGTCCTGGGGACAGCTCTGGGCCCCTCCTGGCAAGAGAGACTTTGAGGGGCTGGGAAGGGAACTGAGCTGGGGAAGGGTCTGGAGCACCGGGAGCAGCTGGGGGAGTTGTAGGGGCTCAGCCTGGAGGAAAGTTCTAGCTTTGCACAACTCCCTGGCAGGAGGGTACAGCCAGGGGGATGTTGGGCTCTGCTCCCAGGCAACAAGGGCCAGGGCAAGAGGAAACGGCTTCAAGCTGCACCAGGGGAAGTTAAGGTTGGATATTTAAAAAAAACAAAAAATCTGAAAGAATTAATCAGGCATTGGAATAAATTGCCCAGGGTAGTGATGGAGTCACCACACCTGGAAGTGTTCAATAGGTGTCTGAATGTGGCACCTGGTGACATGGGTTAAGAGTGATTATGGTGGCTCTGGGGGTGATGGTAAGACTCAATGATCTTGAAGGTTGCTTCCAACCTTGATGACTGTGGTAGTTTAAAATTTCAAAGCAATTTAGCAAATACTCAAAAGCTTAAATTAGAATATTTTGCAGATGATTGTTGCTGCCTCATTAGCAAGGTCTCTGTGATGGGCAATGCTGGGGTGCTCTGGCTGTGGCTTAAGCTCTGCAATGTCTGTCATGAGTCCAGCACCCATTGGGATAAACATCCTAAATTCAACTTATCAAATGCACAAGTTTAATGTACAAAGACAGTGTTAACCTTTCAGTAAAATTATGTTGAGGTGATGGGAAAAGACGTTGTGTGTGTGGCTATCACCATTCAGAGGTAATGGGGCATTTAACAGTATCTCTGTAGCTGCTTTAACTCTTCTCCACTTTCTGATTGTATAACTAAAGGTCTGTCTTGTCTTAGGCTGGAAGAAAGCCTAGCATTCCCAGAAACTCTTTAGGGGCTGATACCCCATGCCTGGAAGTGTCCAAGGACAGGTTGGACAGAGCTTGAAGCCACCTAGTGTAGTGGAAGGTGTCTCTGCCCATGGCAGGGGTGGAGCTGGATGGGCTCTAAGGTCTCTTCCATCCCAAGCCAGTCTGGGATTCCATGGTTATTCCTGGAGTTGGAGATTCAGCTCAATGGACCGCAGTGCTGTGGTTGTGGAGTGTGGGCTGTTACACCCTGTGTGGCACATAAGGAACATGTGGGTATATATCATGTGGATGATTTTTTCCTGTGCAGATCCTGTCCCTGTTTGACCTGCTCCGATACTGTGTCAGTGTGTGCAACCAGATCGCTGCCCACCTGCACATCCACGTGTTCCGCATCAAGGGCTGCCCCACGCACTCGAACCACCACTAGGGATGGAGAAGGAGTTGGGTTTCTACAGGAATGGATGAAGACTTGTAGGAGACTAAGGCTAAAAGCAGATAAGAACAAGTAATTTATAATAACCAATGTTGTATAACTTTTCTTCTTTGTTATCAGTAACACTCCTTAACTAGTCTCCTGCCTGAGAGAGTGAATTCCAAGTACACCTTAGTCAACTTTCCATGTAGTCAACTCTGTTGGTTCCAAGCCCGGGAAAGCATGCAGGAAGAAAATGCTCTGTCTTTGTAATTACCCTGATTACAAATTAATCTCTATATGGTGAATGGATCCCCACCAACTGAAGTTTCTAATGTAGTATAATTACAGCTGCAATCTGACTTGCTTTTAATTTTAATATTTCATCATCTCTTAGTGAAATACTTGTTTAGTGTCCACTTGGAATTTATTTACTACAGACCTGAGCTGGTAAAAACCCAGAGATATCTCACTAAGTTGTGTGGCTGCAGCAGCTGCCAGGTGGGAGCCAGGCTGGGGTGGTTTTTGCTCGTGCATTGCTGACAAAGCGGTTTCATGCTGAACAGGGTCCTGTGAGCCAAGGGGTGCCCGGCATGCAAAATAGTGTGGTATCTTTGTCAATTAATTTTATTTTTTTAAATAAACATTATCTAAAAAGACAACTTATTTCTCAATTTTCTTCAGTAGAAAAGACTATAAGAAAAAAAAAAATTTACTGTTTACTTTTTTATGTATAAAACTTCAGCAAAATTTCCTTTCTGCTCTTAATAAATAAGAATTCTGAGAGCAACAGTTGTCTTGAGATGTATGTGTTGCTCTGTCTTGCTTAGACTTGTGAATGACAAACCTGCCTGTGGTTTAAAGAGTAGTTTTCCAGTGTTTTTATGTGGATCATGTCATTCCAGGATCTCTGAGAGCTTTGCCTGCTATATAGTGCAGTAAGTTTGGGTTTCTTTTTTCTGTCATTGTTTTCATACCATTTAACTGTGGTGAACTGCATGAGGGACACTCAGATTAATGGAGGGTTTAATTGCATGTTAATGAAGTTCACATGGTACCACAGGCCCTGGCACTGATGGGAACTTCGGTCCTGAGCAAAGGGGCTAAAGTACTGAGCAGGGAGTGACTCTGAGCAGGATCTGCCTTGGCTGTGGGGTAGCTGCTGGAGACAGAGCTGGAATGCTGGGATCCCATTTCTGAAATCCCAGCCCTCTAACCATGGAGCATCTCTTTGAAGGTGGGAAGGAAATCCTCTGTGCTGGGAGCCCAGGCCAAGGCAGTGCCTGTGCACAATGACATGGCTCCGAATGAATTAAACACAGGTCATGGTCAGAAAAAACAAACAAACCAAAAAACCTCACACCTCAGTAAGCATAAATCAAAACCTCCCTCAGTTCCTGGAAGTGCTGTCTTGGATTTCCTGTGATACCCCAGTGATTAGAAAATGTGCTCAGGAAGTGGAGAGAAAACTCAATTCCTGCAGTGCTTAGAGAGGTTTGAAACCCTTGTGCCCTCTCCCTGGGCAGTGCTCAGTGTCTGGCTGCCGTGGACTGAGAGATTGAGCTTGCTTGTGTCCTGGCAAGGACAGGACTGGAGGGGTCATGGAGGAAGGTGGCTCTGGTTTAGTGGGCTGTGCTAGGAAGTGGAGCAGAGGTGCCAAGTCCTTTGGCTTAGCCTTGGCAGAGGGAAGTGCCCAGTCTTGTGGCTTCTGTGCTTGGAAGAGTCTTGGTTCCTTCCCATGGAGTGGCACCATGTCAGCAAGTGAGGTGGAGGTTGTGTGTCAGCCTGGGGGCACTGGGAGAATCAGGAACATGCTCAGGATGAGGAGGGGACTCCTGTAAGGCTTCCCCACTCCACCCTTGCACTCCCACTTTGAATCTTGTGAGCAGCAGTTTTATGGCAAGCGCAGCTGAGACTTCTTTGGGGACCCAGCCCAGTGTTGGGGGTCCTGTCAGGGTCCCTGCCAGGCTGGAGCCAGAGAGGGGATTTGATTCCTGCACCTGATGCACCTGGGGCAGCTCCCAAGTGTCCTGGAGCTCTGCTCCAACTACCTTGGTGCCAGGAGCATCTCCATGTATGAGGTGACAGTTCTAGAATGACATTTTTAGATGTCATTTAGGAATTAGGGGAACTCGCTGAGTTTTAACAGCAATGAGCTGAGCAAGGGGCTGCTACTGTCCTTCAAGGGCAGCAGGTAAATCTGCAAGGGAAGAGCCTGGAAGGGTTTGAACATGCCCTTTACAAATCACGTGTTTCCTTTCATCAGCATGAAGTGGGTGCAGAACTGTTGCTTGGAAAGTCCCTCCCTTGGAGTGTGAGTGGTGTCCTTGAACCAGAATCAGTCTGGTGGTTCATCAAATCCAGCCTTTGACCAAACGCCTCCGTGCCCACTTACCCATGTAAACAAGGAGATTTCCTGCTCTCAGTCCTCAGAGGTTTAAGATTAGGCCACTCCAAATAATTTGTTACTAATACTTGAGATTGGAGAAGAACCAAAGCCTTTAAAAGGCTGTGCAGGGCCAGACTTCCACGTGCAAAGCTAAAGCCTGTTGCTGTTCAGAAAATGCAATAGGACACCTTTTTCTGAGCTTTTCTCAGAAACTCCCTGGAAGTTTGGATGCCCCCAGCCAAGAAAAAATTCCATTTCTCTGCTGATACAATTTCAGTGTTATCAGGGAACAGTCACTGCTGGCAATCCAAGACCTCTAAAATGCTGCTATGGCTCTGGGTATGGCGACAGATAATGGAATAAACAACCTTTCCACCTGCTTTGTTTGTGGCCATGAGTCACCTCAGATGTGCTTGTGGAGTTGAGAAGGGGGACAGGAGATTTGTGGGCTCAGCCTGATCTCATGATGGGGCCCTTTCTGTTGTGTCGAGAAGACACTCGGGAGGGAGAACTTCTGTAGCAGCAGCACCTACGAATGAGAACACGCCCTGCTACAACAATGCAGTTCTGCTCTGCAGGTTTTCCTCTCAGTTTGTAAAGAGAAGCTGGAAATTTCCACTCAGTGTTGTGTTGGCTCTTTAAGAACTGTGTAAGGAGTTCCCTTGCTCTGATAAGGGATTTAGCACAGGAAAGGAGCAGGTCAGGACACCTCAGGGCCTCTTTCTGTGTCATCAAAGCATCAGCTTTGTTTCAAAGCACTATTTCTCTCCTCTTCCCATCCTACCCAGCTTGCCCCAGTACCTCCAGTGCTACTGTGTCCTAGCTGTGAGTGTGGAATGGAGCTGCAGAGGAGTTTAATCATTTCCAGAGGATGAAAACTACAGCAGTTCCAAGGTTATGGCCAGGTGGGATTTGAGTAGGGTGGGAACAGGGGCTGTTCCTGCCCTGGAGCGGTGGGAAGCACTGGGCTGTCACCCTGTGCTGGCTCCGGCAGGGTGAACCCTCCCAGGACTGTTTGCTGGCACCGAGGCCACTGGCAGAGGGTGACACATACCAGAGTATGAAATTATCTTTCCTAGAGCAGCTGCATAGCAGGGATTGAGTCCCAAATCAGCAGTGGGGGCTGAGCTGCCTGCCAGCCGGGCCCCAAGTTGTTTGGATGGTGTGAGTTGGCCAGTGCTCTGCTGGGAACTATGTTAACAATTTAGCAGAATAAATGAGCTCTTTCGAATTCAGGGAAACATTTCTTGGCGTTGTTTTATTTACTGTTGTAGGCTTGGATCAAGTGTTGGGCAAATCTCGAGCAGGAAGAAGGATTTAAAAATACACTGCGGGTTATGCTGATGTGCTGCAATGTGACCCAGCCCCAGTGTCCCTGCTCCCAGAAGCTCTAGCTGAGCCTTCCTAGGGTGTCCCCAGCACACAGTCTGTCTGGGCATTAAAGGGAGGGTATTAAAACCAGAACTTAACAAATACCTGTAAAAAAAGAAGAGTGAATTTTTACACAAGGAAACAGTGATATGACAAGGAAGGAATGGATTTAAACTAAAATAGGAGATTTTTAGATGGGATGTCACCTTCCCTGTGAGGGTGGTGACGCCCTGGCACAGGTTGCCTGGAGCAGCTGTGGCTGCCCTTGGATCCCTGGAAGTGTCCAAGGCCAGGCTAGATGGGGCTTGGAGCAACCTGGGTAGTGGAAGGTGTCCCTGCCCATGGCAGGGGGTGGAATTGGGTGATCATGAACATCCCTTCCATCCCAAAACAGTCTGAGATTCCATGATTCCAGGACATTTTTGATATTTTGATGCCTGGTGGGTACCAGGTGATGTGACAGCCTGGCTGTAACATCTCAGAGAGAAGAATGAAGCTTTGCCTTCATTCCCAGCCTGTGCTGGGAGAAGTACTACATTGGGTTTCTGTTGATGGGACCAGTCAGTTCTGCAGCACCAGCCCAGCTTCCCTGCTGCAATATTTATTTCCTGGGTGAGTGTATTCCAAAAGGAGAACTGTCATTTAGCTTTGATCTGCTGCTGGCCTCACATTTCAGAGAGGAATTGCAAGGTTTTAAGAGAAGGTGGCACCAAGACCAGACCCAAGGAGGATGGTGACACGTTTTACTCTGGGATGGAACAAATCCTTCCTCCGTCACCTCATTGAAGCTGTTGATCAGCTGTTTCCCCTTGACACCCCACAGCCATGTGGCCCTCACAGTTTTCTCCAGCACAAATAAATAACCTGCTGGAAATGAGTATTTTTGTTTCCTTAGAAAGCCAAACTTGGCTCTATGTGGCACCAATGATGCAGCAGCTGCAAGAGAGGAAACCACTAACACCGCCCCCCTGCCTCCACTCCTGCTGGTGTTCAACAATGGCTCAATAAAACAATATAAACCCAGTTGTTAATAACAAAACCTCAGGAACTGTGCAATGGGATGTTCCTTATTTGCAAATCCCTGGTTTGTTTTAATGAGAAGTAACATTATTTCCTACTCATCCCTTTTTTTTTCTCCCTTCCAATAGTTACTCTAAACCCCTGTTGTCCTGCAGCCAGCCCTGGCTGCCCTCCCTCTGTGTGAGGTGTTGGGGGGACAAGAACCGTGCAGGGCCAAGCACTGGGAGTCACAGTCTGTCCCTGGAGTGACCACCATCAGGAAAGAAATCCCAGCCTGGTGCTAGTTCTGTGCAAAGAGGTTTCCAGTGCAATGATGCCCTGAGAAAGAAAGGGTGCTCAGTGCTGCCCAGGCAGCTCAGGAGTCCCAGGTGGGCAGGAACAGAGTCCAGTATGGTGCTGCTGGCAGGGATGTGTCAATCTCAGTCCTGTTCCCCTGCTCCCACACTGGACTTCAGGAGTCCCTTCGGTGCTTCTTCTGTTCATGGTACTCTATTATTTTCTGCTGGAAATATGCTGTGGAGGAAAAAAAGGTCATGGGCAGGGTGCTGGTGTTTGGAATGGGGCATACAGGGCTGCCCAGCCTGAATCCTGGGAAGTCTTTGTGTCCCAAACCCTCCTGGGTTATGGACACCTGCACCCACAGAGGACCCCAGGAAAATGTGGAAATGAAGTGTCCAAGGCAGGTGGATGGGGCTTGGAGCAGCCTGGGATTGTGGAAAGTGTCCCTGCCTATGTCAGGGAGTGGAACGAGATGCCCTTTAAAGGTCCCTCCAACCCAATTTGTTGGAATTTTGGGATTCTGTAAGTCTATGAAATGGGGGTGGTTGCAATGACACCCATCCCTCTCACCCCAAATAGGCTTTATTATGCTGGGTTAGCCAGAGGTTTTAACCCATGTGTTCACTCCTATTCAGTTTTGTGTTTCCTACCAGCAACGAAGGGAGAAAGCAGCAGACCCAGCAAAAAGCCAGAATGGTGATATAGACAGGGAATACAATACGAAAACAGGGATTATGCTATCCCTCTCTTTCTCCCAGGTTTTCTCTATAAGGTCTCACATGAAAGGGCAGAGAAGCAATACCTGAGGCAGTGCCAGCAGGAGTCTCCCGGGTAGGGTGGCAGATCCCAGCCCAGGATGTCTCCATCCTGCAATACAGTTTTTGGTTGGCTTCCTCCACCTCTACTGCCCATTTGTCTGTGTCCCAGGCTGGGAGGAGGCTCAGCTCTGCCCTGTGCCCTGTAAATCCCCGGGAAGGGGGAAAGACCAGCCCTGCTGCCACGGAGTTAGGGGCTGAGCTGAGTCAGGCTCCTGGCAGTTGCTGCTGTGCCCAAGCCAAATGTTTGTGCTGCTGCTGCTTGTTTTCAACACAGAGCTCCCAGTGAGCTGGCCCCAGCTCCAGGCGAGTGACAAGATCTAAAATGAATCATTAGAGTCCAGAATCTCACGCTGTTTTGAGCTGGAAGGGACCTTAAAGCTAATCCAGTTCCAAACTCTGCCCTGGGCAGGGACACCTTCCACTAGACCAGTTTGCTCCAAGCCCCATCCAAAGTGGCCTTAGACACTTCCAGAAATGGGGAGTCACAAATGAGGATTTTTTTTTTTTTTTTTTTTTTTTTTTTGCTTGACAGATATGGAGATGAGGCCATTGAGAGCAAACAGGATCTGCTCAGTGCCCTGAGCACCCTCAGCTTGGGCTGCATCCCATCCCTCACCAGGCACGAGGCATCTCTGCCCCTAAACCAACCAGCCCAGGGTTCCACAGAGCTCACCCCACAGGGGAGGGGACGAGAAATGGGACCCTTACCTTCCTGTGGGATCCTGCTCTTCTCCGCTTCCTCAATAAATAGGGAGAACATGTTTGTCTTCACAAACTTTTTCAGGAACCTGCGGCAGCTCTTGGAGGCGATGGCCTTGCAGAAGGCTCGTTCCTGGAAGCTGCCAGAGCCGCTCCTGCCCCACTTGATGTGGGAGCCGTAGTGCCCGACCAGCCGCACAAAGAAGTGCACGAAGGCCTCTGACACCAGAGCGTTCAGCTGCTCCGAGGCTAGAAGGGGACACGGAGCACGAGAAGTGGGGATGAATCCTCTGAACACAGACAGGACGGGCTTATTTTAACCTGGTCTGTGTTTGCATCCCAAGGAATTGCTTGCTTAGAGCCTTCCTCTGCCACTAATCAAGGAGCAGACTAATTTTGCTGAGGGAACCCTGGCTTTCCAGGGTAGCAACCTCTTAATGTTCTAAATATTAGCAAAAATCCATTTTTCCAGCAGAATTATCTGTTCCTGCTCTTGTGTTTCAAAGGACAGAGGAAACCCCAAGGGATTACCCCTGCAAACAGGGGGAGAAGCATCCCAGACCAGGTGACTTTAGGAAAATCCCTTGGTTGAAGTCTGTAGCCATGGAGAGGGCAGATCAGGGCTCTTTTACCATCACAGACATCCTTACTGTGTTCGTTGTTGTTGCTGTTGTGCCTGTTCAGAGATAGCAGCATCTCGTTCTGCAGCTTTCCAGGCAGGATCTCCTCCTCATCCCCCACCTGGAAGGCAATGGGGCTGTGAAGCACTGGAGGGAATCCAGCTCAAGGGGCCATGGGTTGGTGCAGCCCGTCAGTGGGGCTTTCAAAGCTCATTAATTAATCATCATCATCATGTCCTGCAGAGATGTGGGTGTGGGATATCCAGTGCATGGACCCTGCTATTCTGGCTCAAAAGCCAGTGGCTGTAGACATCCCCACATGGGATGTTCCCCCTGGAGGGTGCCACTGAAGATAGCTCTGCCCCCAAGATTATAGAACCACAAAATCCCGGACGGGTTTGGGTTAGAAGGGACCTTAAAGCTCATCCCATTCCACCCCCTGCCATGGGTAGGGACATTTTCCACTAGACTACAATGCTTCAAGCTCTATCCAGCTTAGCCTTGGACACTTTCAGGGATCCTGGGGCAGCCACAGCTTCTGTGGGCAATCTGAGCCAGGGCTTCACCACCCTCACAGGGAAGAATTCCTTCCCAAAATCCCATCTAACCCTGCCCTCTGACAGTTTGAAGTTTAAAAATGTGGAAGCTGCCAGGTAGCTGACACCAAAGGAGAAAAGGCCCTTCCTGGGGTTATCCAGGCCACCCCCAGCCCCACACCCATGCAGGGAGGACCTACCGCCCGGATGATCTTCCCTTCACAGAGATCAACTATCAGAGCCTGAAAGAGAGCAGGGAGTGAGCAGGTTTAGCCCTGCCAAGGCACCTGGGCTTCCTGCCACCCGTTTTGGGATGGGACTGGTGTGTCACCAGCCCATGAGGGTGGCAGGAGAGGGATCAGCCCTTCTCTGCAGGAGGGACCTGGGCAGGGGGACCAGGACATTTCCCACAAGGACAATTTTTGCTGCAGGTTTGGTGGCTTGTCCCCACAAGCTTTTCTCTGCTTCAAGACTGGGATGACCCAACACCAGCTCCTGGAGCCACAGGAAATCCCAGGGGAATGTGGAGGTATTGCTCCAGGTGCCAACATGGAGGACACCCTAATTTCCAGCCTCCCTGGATGAGAAAAGGGCACAATCAGAGCCTCTGGCCCCGGGGCCAAGCCAAACCTGCAGACACAGATTAACTGATGGCTCCATCCAGCTGCCCTCCCCTCCAGATGAAATACCTCCTCCATTGGCTGCTCCAGGACCCGCTCCAGGTGCCGCCTCTGGATGCCGACCATGAAGGGTGTGGGACAGCACACGGTGTCCAGCAGGCACTCAGGGACCACGGGGATGTAGGTGTGAGCCCAGGTGAAGGGGTACAGGAGAGCAGCCACAGCGTGGATACACTGAGACAGGACACTGTGGAACAGGCAGCCAGAAGTGATATCACGGCAGGGAGGAGGGAACATCCCACCTCGAGCTCTGCTGTGTCCTATGCCAATTTAAGGGCATTTTTAATGGGCATTTCTATAATAAAGAGATCAGGACTCACCTCAGTTCCTCAGCCAGGAAAATGAGCCGTCGCTCCAACATGGCGGAGGCGAAGATGAGCAGGATGAGGTGAGGGCTGAGTCGTTGGAGCAGAGCCTGGAACTCCACGTGCTCCAGGTGGGCATCCACAGGCCGTGTGAGCTCAATGAGCTGCCAAGGAAGAGCCACAGAACCCCAGCTTAGGAGGGGCAACACTCCCCCTGTCCTGCCCTGGTTTCCTGAGAAGGTGATTTGGAAACAATTAATGACCCAGCATTTGCAGCATTTGCACCATGTCCACGTACAAGGGACAAACCCCATTTCATCCTGCCAGGAGGTTCAGCCTGTGCAGTGCTGAGAGCTCAGGGAAGCCATCAGTAATGTGCACTGTGGAGCTCTTTATTTGGGTACTGGATTTTTAACCCAAATGCCTCTTTTCTCCAGTGTTCCCAAGTCCCTGGCAGGGAGTGGCAGGGACATGTCCCATCTCAGTGTCTGAGAGGTCATCTGTGAGCTGCCAGGAAAGGGAGGAGTGGGGAGGGCATGACTCCTACAAATGCCACAAAACCTTCCTCTAAAGTGTCTCTGGCAGGGTCAGCCTGGCAATTCCTGGCTAAGATTCCCCAGAAGTGAGGCATCTAATAGATATTTGCAAGGCAGGCTGGCTACTAAGCTGCGTTTGCCCACAAGTCTCCCAATTCCATCAATCCCTGTGGCAGCCAGACATGGTGAGTACTGAAAGGTTAACAGGACTGTGCAGCTCATAACCTTGGCTCTTCTCCCCACCCTTCACGAAGAAAATCCCCATCTTTCAGGAAGAAAATCTCCTTCTCCACATGCTTTTCCACCAAAGCAGCAACTTCTCAGCCAGCAGCATCAGGCTTGGCTGGGCTCCACAGCCCCTTTCCAGCATAAGTTCCACTCCATCCCCACCTCAGCCCATGCAATATCCAAGATTTATTTCTCCTCCTTTCTTGGTCTCAGTGATCTCCTTGCTCCAGACGCTGCCCAGAGCCCAAAGAACATCCTCATTCCTCCTCCCTCTGGCAGCCCAGGCTGTGCTTCCAACCATGGCCCTGGGACGGAGCATTGAGCAAAGTCTTGCACAAGCTCCCTGCATTAAGAAATCACTTAGATCACCAGCTGCTAAACTGCTCTAGAGAGCAGGGATCCTGCTTTCAGGATGGCACATCCATGAGATGCTCAGCATTGAGGATATTTTGCCCAGTGACAGAGTGGATCCTACCTATTTTTCCAGCTTGACTTTGCCACAAGAAAAGAAAAAACAAATTAAAAAGCTATGCCCATGCGAGTCTGGGCTGTGTGTGGGCGCAATGAGATCATCTCATCCATGCCTGGATCAGGTCTTTTCTCTACAGGAAAAGACTAGGCTTGTCACACACCTGCACTTGCCTGAGGGGCTGAACCAGGCAGGAATCAAGACTGGGAGTTGAATACAGTGGTATGGAGAAGAGTATAATCATGCAGTCATGGAATCATCAGGGTTGGAAAAGCCATCTAAGATCATGAACTCCATGTTCACCACTAACCCCCATCCCCAAGTGCCACATTCACGTGGTTTTTTTAACACTTCTAGGGATGGTGATTCCATCACTGCACTGGACAGGCAGTGCCAGTGCCTGAGCACTTCTTTTGGGAAGAAATTTGCAGCCCATGACAGCCCTTGCACCACTGTGCTCCCCAACCTTCCGGAGGAGCTGACGCTGGCTCAGGAGCAGGAGCAGGAGCAGCTCCCAGCCCCTGGCACAGCAGGCCCCTCCCAGCCCCTGGCACAACAGCCTGCTCTGGCATCAGGGCCAGGCAAGTCCCAACGTGTATGGAGAGCTTTTTGTGCAGCAGCTCCAGCTTCAGGCTGGGGGAGCTGCAGAGGTGGCAAAGATGGAGCAAAGGGATGGGCTCCATCCTCACCCTCACCGCTCTCCTCCTGGGTCAGGAGAGAGATAACACCCATATTCCCAAGGGATGAGGCCTCTGGCAGCCTGACCCACCCTGTTCTGCTATGGTCAGCACCCCTGGGTGCTGCAGGGGTGGAGGATGCTCCCAGATGTAGACCAGGAGGTGCCCCCGGGTCCCCCACCAACCTCTGTGCCCGACTCAGGGATGAAGCTTTTGATGGTGACAGTTTTCCCTGGAGCTGGGAAGGGCGATTCCCGCAGGCCCTGCATGAAGGGGTAGATCACTGCCATGGAGATCTGGCGCCTCTTCTCCACTTCGTCCAGGATCTGGGTGAGAAAGATATGAGCTGAATCCCCAGCAGATAAAGGAGCAGTCACCAGGGCCACCACTGGGCCAGAGCCCCATGTCCCTACCTTGGAGAAGAGCCCAAAGCAGCCCAGGCAGCTGATGATGCAGAAAACCTCAGGGAGTCGGACACCACGCCCGGATGGCTGGAAGAGTGTGGGAAAAGGATTTGAGCATCTCCCAGCCCCCTGCACCAGCTCCACACTCTCCAAAGGGATCCTCACTTGCTCCCCTCAAATTCCCAGTCACTCACTGGGAGATTTTCAAGGCTAGGGCCAAGGCCAATGATGCAGCTGATGTTGGAAAAGCAGAGGGTGCCCAGAATCCATTTGGGTGCCTAAGCTGTTAATTGTTTTGGTGCAAAATCCTTTGGCATATTTGCAAACTCTCTTCCCACCCAGGCACACATTCTCCAAGACATCCTGCCCCACCATCCTTGGGGTTAATCCTGTCCCCTGCTACAACAGGGGCCATCACGATGAGTTCTTTGGATTTTTTTTTCCCTTTCCAACTGGACTATCCTGGGTCTGTTTGCTCTCTGCACTTTCAGCCCTCCAGACATTCACTTCCAACAGCCTGAGCTCATCCCTGGATGCTGAAATAGGAAGGTCCACCAGGATGAAGGGATGGTGGATCCAGCTGTTGTCCAGGCTGTGGCACAGAGGTGTCCTCCTGGATTTATGTCCGTGTTTACAGCAGCAGCCAGGGAAGACCATTGCATCTCAGAGCCCCTGAGCTGGTCAAACCCATGAGTTGAGAAACAGCCACTGCTCAGATGCAGTTTTTGGGGATGGGGCTGAGGGCTCCTAACTCCGTGGTACCTGGATGGCTGCATTAACATTCCCATCCTGATCCCAAGTGGGATTTGCAGCCATCCTGGCCACAGCAGGCATGGGAAAGGATCCAGGGAAGCTGTGGAAGCCAGTGAGGAATCACAGAAACCGTCCAGTTTGGAAAAGCCCTCCAAGATCTCCAAGTCCAAAAGTAGCCCAGCACCACCATATTCACCCCTGAACTGTATCCCCAAGTGCCACATCCACGGGCTTTTTGAACACTCATTGTTTCCTCCATCCGGCATCTGAGTTATGCCTCAGCAGAGAGCTTTAAAAACCTGCTCTGAGTTTTTAAACCCTCTTGCTGCTCATCATCACTGGTGGCTTTCTGAGGCAAGTCCCCAAAAGCTGAACTCTGGGCCTGGCAGGAGGTGACGTGTCCCACCGTGGGGAGGGGGTGACACCTCCGATGAGTGTGGGGTAGGGAGGGCTCACCAGCAGCCGCCTGCAGTAGCCAATCTTCCTGCTGCCATCCACATTTGTCAGGACAAAAGAAAAGGTTTCGCTGCAAGGAGAGAAAACATGGGGCTGGGATGAGCTGGGATGGACTGGGCTGGGCTGGGCTGGTCCTTCCAGCCCTCAGGAGTCCAGCAGGGGTGGGGATCCCAGCCCAGACCCTGCAGTGGGGCAGGTACCTGGTGAACTCAGTGATAGGTGCCCAGTTGTTGCCGTCAGGGAAGCAGAAGAGGGGGATGGCTTCGAGGAGACGTTCCTCCTCCTCCTTCTGGCCCTTCAGCAAGTTCTCACGCTGGATGAAAGCGATGCCAAGAGTCAGGGAGATGGAGGGTCCCCATCATCACCAGGAATGGGGTGGGATTCAGTGGAATGAGGTCTGTCCTAAAGCGACCCCTGTCTCTGAATGATGCAGAAGGGACCTGCACATGTCTGGACAAGCACCTCCCAAAAATCCAAATTTTGACTTTCACCCCATGGACAGTGAGGCAAAGCAGAGGGACCCTCTGCAAACTGTGATCTCTTCCTGTGCCACCTCCCTGAGATGTGATTTCCCCACTTTAGTTTCCCTTTTTGGGACAGGAAGCCAGGGAGTGCCCCTAGAGTTTCCTCCCGGGGTTTGTGGCCCTGGGATCATGGGGAGGGACAGATGGTCCCAGCAACCCCAATCCAGGGCAGGCAAAGCCCTGGGGCCTGGGACTGTGACTCAAGAGCATGGTGCACCTTTCTCCTTCCATTGCTTTAATGATGGGGAAGGAACAACATCCCTTTCTCCTCTAAATGTGGAAAACAAATCTTATCAGAAACACAGGACTAAATACCTTTGGGAACTGGTAGGTTATTTTGGGTTCATAATGTCCATCTGACATCTTCTTCAGTGACACCACCACCAGGTACTCAAAGAAGAACTGTCCAGCAGAGTAGAAGACTGAGCTCCGCTCCCCCTGATTCCCCTGCGGTACCCGTGGGGGGGTGTTTTCTGCAGCAGAGGCCCCATCTTTTCCTTCTGAAGCCAAAAAAGATCCCATAAAAATCCAATCAGAGTGCAATGAAAGGTGTGAGGTGTCCTGAGGGCAAGGGAAGACTTGCAGAGTTACACATGAACTGGCTGAAGGGAACCAGGTCCTGGTGCCCAGGACTTTTGGTCCCCAAAAATGAACAGCTGGGGATATGAAAAGGAAAGAGAAATGGCTTTTATGAGTCTTTTAGGGAAAATCCCGAGACACTCCGAGCCTTCCTTTGCCCCAACCCAGTGAGGGCAGAAGGATGCTCAGAGCAAAGCAGACACATGGAATGAGGGAGAGCAGATGGGCTCTGCATTAAACACCTGCAGGGAGGTGTGGGAATGTGTTTATAGCAGTTAATCTTATTCTCTTAGGGGAAGTAAACAGCAAAAAACCAGCCCAGATCTTGTTTGAGCACCTCCTAAAGCTCCCATCAGATGAATCCCAACCTCTCCCTCTCAGGTGTTCTGGGAACTGCTGATTGCAAATGAGCTACTTGAGGGTTTTCCCTAAACCAAAGCAAAGCAATTCCTGGAGATTACACCCCAGTACTTGTTGGGCTGGTTGGGGAGGGCATCAGTTGTCACACCCTGAACAACAAGGAATAGGAGGGAAAAGAGCCCCATCCAGCATCTCCAAGGGCCCTGGGATGACCACAGTGGGACAGTGAGATCCGAGGGCTGGAAAGGAGCTGAGTTAAATGCTGGACAGAGACTGCAGCCAGGCCATGCCACTGCTCTTCCCTCTCCCAGAGGCCACTTGTGCCTCCCTTTATACCTTGCTCTTGACACACCAACTGTCCTATCTCTGATTATGGTGGGGAACTGGAGCAGAAAAGTTGAGATCTCTTCTAGGAATAGCAAGGAAAATAAATATGTGGCTGGATGAGATTACGGGCTCTTGCAGCTTGTCCTCAGATCCCAGAGTTTGTCCCTGGGCTCTTCAAGGCATGGCTGTGATCAGCTGTTCCCATTATCCTTCTCCATGTATGGCATCCTCCTCCAAAAGCAGTGCTGGAGGACACCCTGCCAACATGTCCCTCCAGCTCCAGAGCTATCTCCTTTAGTCTGGAAACACCTCTCCAGCCTTTGTTCCAGGTCACTGGGAGCTGATGGGAACAGAAGGCTCATAGGAGGAGGTGACACTCATGGTCCCATCACAGGATGTTCCTTCCCAGGGACTGGAAATTCCTTTCCCAGCTCAGGGTGGGGGGATGCTCAAAGCCACCCCTTCGTGCACCCTGGGGCTGTCCCACCTCCACATACAAAGTCCTTCCTCTTTGGCAAGGTGAAATTCATCCCAAAAATTCATCCCTTTGTGGCAGGTGAAGGATGAGACCTGGCTGAGGATACCTCTGGTTTATCCTCATTGGGGATAATCCTGGACCTGCCCAATGAGGAGCTCCAGGCCAGGGAAAAGTTGACAAGATGTGCATTGCTTCTCCCACTCTTCCTTGGGATGCTCCAGCAATGGCTTTGGTCTACTCCTACCTCTGACCCAGGCAGGGGGTTGTTGTAGGGGGGACCCCAGGGAAGAAGGCTGTGTCATGGCAGGGCTGCTGGTGTCCCCCATCCATGCTGGACACTGTCATTGGCTGTTTTCCCATCACCAGGGCAAGATGAAAGTGCAGTTAAATCCTGCCTATCCAGTTCCATTCTGCATTTCAGAAAACAACAGATCTGCTTTCCAGCAAGGACTGCATTTGCATTTTGTCCATGGGGTTTGCAAGCAAACAAGCCAAACCTGCTGCTCTGGAGAGCCTGGCCTTGCCAGGCTACAGCTCTGCCTCTCACACGTGGAAGTGTGGATCCCACAGCAGTGCCATGTCCGGCTGCAAAGCCCTCACTGGCAGAGCCCAAATCCCTCCAAGACCAAAACTCCCCATCCCTGGGCTGGAAGATGAGCTCCAGGGATGTACAGAGTGAACTGTCAGGCAGGCTGAATGTGCTGTCAGAGATCCCAGCGCTGCCCCAAACTGGCAGCGCTCACAGTGCCTCGTCTCCGGGGAACATAAGTCAGGGTCAAAGAGCCAATGACTGTCCCATAGCCCGTGTCAGGAAGATTCAGGTAGCACCCCCAGCCCCCCAGCAGTGGGAGCATCCCCTGCAAGGAAGGGAAGCAGGCGGGTGGCCACGGGTGCTCTCGCTACTCCCGGATGGAAAGTGGCTGCTGGTGACGTGGATCTTTACCCTTCCATCCACCGGGCACGGAGAGGGCAAAGGCTGCCGCGGGCTTTTCTTATCGCTCAGCCCCACTCTCTGCCTGTGGCACAACCGGTTTCTTTCCTCCCGGAAAACTCCCGACCTCTGGTGTGCCAAGGTTCCCCGACCTGGTTTGCAGGGAGCTCAGCTTCCCGTGCTGCCCAGCTGCCCACCTTGCCCCAGCGGAGAGGAATGGCTTTGGCTTTCTCAAACCTCGGGCAATATCGAGCTCATGCAGAGCCAGAGCCAGCACAAACAGACAGGGAGGGGAGCGCACTAAGCCCCCCAGCCAGTAGACTGCTCCAACCTGCTTTGTTCTGCCTTGAGATACGGCAGCCAGAAACTCTGGTGATCCTTTCGGCACCTGAGGAAAAATCATAAATCCCAAAGAACCAATTTCTGCACTGCCTTCTGAAGGCTCTGCAACACCCAACTGTCCTGAGGGGCACCGTCTCCCTCGTGGGTCCCCCCATGGTGCCAGATGCCACGGGCCCGCATGCCCTGCGGTGCCTCACTCAGTGGGGATGTGGGGAGACAGGGGATCTGTGGGGCCGCCCCTGGGGCTGGGGGCTGGCTCAGCTGGGAAGGGGTGAGCTCCCGGGAGATGGGGGGCAGCTCTCGGAATGGGCTGAACCCCCGAGAACGGAGCAAGAGATGCGGTGAGTCCGGGGCAGGCTGCCCGAGCTCGGCCCCGTGGGGTGGGGTGGGGTGGGGTGGGAGCGGGCACGGCTGGAGGGACCGAGCCGCTGCCGCCGGTCGCTGCCCTGCCCGGGAACGGCCCCGCTCCGCCGGCAGCCGTCGGCTCCCGCAGCCGCGGCACCGGGATGGACCTGTCCAAACACCGACACCGGCACCGGCACCGGCACCTCCCGGAGCCCCTCCCGCCCCTCACCTCTGCGGCCGGCGCGCCGCAGGCTCCGTCGCAAGAAGCTGCCGATGGAAGCCATGGTGGCCCCGGTGCGGTCCCGGCGCGGTCCCGGTGCGGTCCCGGTGCGGGCCCGGCCCGGCCCGGCCCGGCGGGGAGCGCTCGGCTTCCGCCCGCCGCACTTTCGCTTTCCCGGGGGAGGAGGGACGGCTCGGGGCGGAGAGGAGGAGGAGCGGGGAGCCGGGCAGCACCTGGCACCGGCCGGGCACGGAGCACTCGTCCGGGGAGAGCGCGCACTGGGGCACGGGGTAGTCCGGGAAACCGGGAGAAACGGGCACGGGGGGCCCGGGAGGATCGGGAATGAGGGGAGCAGGGAGCCGAGGATGCCAGGAGGAACTGGGGATGGGGGATCCGGGAGTACAGGACATGGCGGTAAGGGAAGAACAGGGAATGGGAGTCCTTGGGAGCACTGGGGAGGAGGAGTCGGGAGCACCGGGCACGGAGGACCTGGGAGGAAGCTGGATGCGGGGGTCCTGGGAGCATCCAGCTTCTGGGAATGGGGGAGGAGGGAAGACCTGGTTGCAGAAGAGCAGGAGCACCGGGCGCGGTGGTACAGGGAGCACTGGGATCTGAGACTGAGCGGGCACGCTGGTCGTGGAGGCAGCGGGAATGAGGGAAGTGGGAACGCCCTGAGTTATAAGGATGCCAGGAGGAACCAGACATGGGACATCCAGGAGAATCGGCCATGGGGACACCCGGAGCACCAGACACAGCAGGAGCTGAGCATCCCCTCAAACGGGTCTGGGCATCTTAGTGGGGAGCCGCCTAGGCTTGGACACAGGGTGGGAGTCAGAGTGTGGACACTTGGGACAAGGTTTGACCTACATCACAGGGGACAGAACACTCATTCCCCAGTGCTACAGCATTGCCCAAATGCTGCTCCAGCCTCCCGGCCTCCTTCAAGCCCTTTTGTCCCCAGGACCCCATCAGTGCCAGCACCAGTGCCCAGAGCAGCCTCTGTGGGGTTGGAGATGGCACTGACCATCTGTACCCCTCCAGGGTACAGATGTTTTGGTGTCTCTCACTCTGCAGTGTGGTGCAGAGTCAGCCCATCACCCGCTCTGGTGACTCCACTGTGCTTTATTCCCATGCCATGGGCTGCCAGCTTGTCCTGACTGCTCAGGCACACTGGCTGGGTGTGCTTTACCTCGGGCTGGCGTTTCTTCACGGGTCAGAGGTTTATCCTCCATCCCAGAGGTACTGAGAGGTGCTTCATCCAGGTTTGGGGCTGGAGGCCAGTTGCCATCTGTCTTCATTGCAGGAAGGAAGAGCAGTGTCCTAGTGCTTCAGTCTGGGGGTTTCCCTGTCTCAGGCATGCCAGGACACTGCGGAGCTGCTCAGCTTTGCTGGGTGGTTTCACTGCTCTGCACACACCAACAGGGAAAGTCCCTTAAAAAGCAATGATATCTTTAAAAGAAAAATCCCCCTTTCCCATTCTCAGCATGTCCACCAGTATTTCCTCTGCTGTTTTTGGGTAATGCTTAACTAAGTTGCAGTTACTAAAATCCATTCCAAACCAAATAATTCTCCAATCTGAAAATTGAAATAATGAGTATCTTCTATGATCTTAATTAAACATACAGAGGGACCTTGGGCACAGCTACTGGTTACCAGACTCCAGGTGTGATGAGCTGCGCACAGTTCTCAGCCCCAGTGCCAGTGTGAGGCTGTTTGCAGCTACAGAGCAGATTCCCTGCACCAAATGTCCTCATCTCTTTTATTTTGCAACATCTCCCATTCCTCTCCCTTTCCCGAGTGTGGGCTGGAGCTCGAGGATGGTTTGCAGCCACCAGGAATGGCCTTTGCCAACTTGCAGAGGTGGTGGATGCTTCCAAAATTCATCCCCATCGGGACATGTGCGTCTGATTCAACCAGGATGCTGCCTCCTCGTTGGGCTTATCAGGGAATTACTGGTCCAGGAGTCATTTTTCTGTCTAATTTTGAGGGGGTGGGAAAGCATTTGTGCTTCTCGAAGGAGAGGACAGTGTGTTTGTTTGTGCAAAGGACTCGTTTCCAGGACAAATTTCCTCTTGGCACAAAGGGAAAAGAAAAAGTTAGGGGTTTTCCCCTCGATTTTGGAGGAATACGCCTGCTTCCTGGAAACTGGCGCCACCTTAGGAAAACAGCTGCTGCTTTCAGCCAGAAGAAAACCCCCGAAATTCTTTTCTTTTATACACATAAACAAAATCTTTTTTTTCCCTGCTTTCTCCCTTTAAGGCAAGTTTCTGACTGCGATCCCGCCTGGATAACGCCGTGATTCCGCTCAGGCGGTTTCTGTGCGGGAGTAAAAGAGCCGTGTTCCAGGCGCAGAACCTCCCGCTCCTGAGGAAACACTGTCCCTTTGTGCCACTGCACAATCCAGCAAACCTTGCGCTGCTGAGAGAGGTTGAACTTTCGAATATTCCCACTGAACGCTCCTTTCTGCGGGAATGCGGCCGCCCATGGGGACAACAAACGGGCGCATTGTGGGTTCCTGGGGGCCGCTGGCCACCGCGCTTCCCCCGCTCGCTGTCGTGCTGCTCTGTGGCCGCTGCCAGTAATTTCTCTTCCCTGACCAACCCCAGGGAGTTTTGTGTTTGGCTGCTTTTCCCTCCTTGAAGTCCCGGTGCTGCTGAATAGGCGCTGGAATTTGGCTTTCTGCAGGCCCGGTGTGCTCAGATGCAAACATCCAGCGGGAGGGGAGCGTTGGGAGCGTGCCCCTGGGACCGGGCTGGCCTCATCGCTGGGACCTTGCTTGCAACTCAGCCTCCTCCTCCTTCTCTGGGCTTGCAGCCCTCCCCTGGCCCGGTGCATCTTCCCTCCTTCCCCATCCCCTCTCTGGGAGCTGGAGGAGCTCAGGTGCCCCGTGAGCTGTTTCCATTTGGCACCCAGGCAGGGCTCGGGGCTTAGGAACGGAGCATGGAGCGCAGTCCCAGCATCCCTGGCAGGGAGGCCACCGAGGGCAGCCCGAGGATGGTGGGGGACCCAATGCCTTTTATTCCAGCCTTTCCCATGTCAGGGAGTTTCTCCTGCTGGATGGCGGCATCAGAGCAAAGAAACCTCTCTGGGAGAGGGGACCTTTCCCCCCTGGTTTTCTGGCTCCCGGGACATTTGTGCTCGGGCTGAGAATGTGTGGGTTCAGCACGCTTGTGTTTACACTGTTCCTGCTACTGATACTTAGCTCTCTGTCCTGTTCCATGCTCCATGGTCCCTTCCAGCACCCCAAAACAGGGTGCCATGGAACATCCTCTGCCGGCTCCTCTTCCCTGTGGGTGCAGAGGGACCTGCTGGGGCCTCAGCTGGGACACTTTGAGCCACAACCAGAAACAAAGCAGACCCAGACTGGGCAAGGAAAAGACATGTCATCCCTCATGGTACACCAAAATCACAATTTCCTAGTAAGGCACATCCCTTATCTGCCCAAAGCCCTCCATGTTACAATTGCAGGGGTGCAGAAACCCCCATGTCAAAGTCACACACCCAAAAATGGCCTAAGCATGGAAAAAAATTTGGGCCCAATTTTTCCATGGTGACTGCAGTGGGAGGCTCCAAAGCTCCCAGGAACTGGAAAACAATCTGGCCACTTTGCCTTGCACTTCATGGTTTTAACCCCAAATATTTCAATCCATCTTTGGGATTTCATGGACATGGTGTTGTGCAGTGCTGGGTGGGCAAGGAAGGCTCATGCTGGGCTGCAGCCCCTCTGCAAATACAGTGCAGGGCAAGTGCTCCGAGGCTGTTTTCTGGCCAGGGGGCATCTCAGCTTACAGGCTTCCACCTGGTCTGGCAATTCTGTTGGCACATGGGCAACCACAGATCACAGAACCACAGGAACCCCTGAGTTGGGAGGCACTCTCAGGGACCATGCAGTCCAACCCCAACCCTGCAAAGACACCCCAATAATCCCACCCTGTGTGCCCCTGAGAGCGCTGTCCAAACACTCCTGGAGCTCTGGCAGCCTGGGACCGTGCCCATTCCTGGGAGCCTGGGTGGTGTCCAGCACCCTCTGGGGGAAGAACCTTTCCCTGAGATCCAACCTGGCCATTCCCTGACATAGCTCCATGCTGCTTTTGCTGAATTATTTTCCCTGAACTCTGAGGACAGTTCCATACAACATCACAGGTGGGAGCTGTCCCACAATGCCAATAAAGCAGGAACATTATTTTTAATATCAGCCTGTGTTGCTGTTGCACTTGACCTTGGCAGCTTTTTATTCTCTAATATTTCCACAAGGAACAGGAGCTCAGCTACACTGACAATGTAGCTGATTGCTGAATCAGAAGCTGAATGCTTCTGATAAGCAACTTTTTCTGCTCTCCCTGATACAAACAGGAATTACCTGTGGCCAACACAAATCTTTTGTGAAAGCCTGAAATAGATTAGGGTGTTCACTCAAACAGCATGGATGGAAGAACAGCAGCAATCGGGGTTTCAGTTTCACATTCCTCCAGAACTTTGATGGAATACTGCTCCGGATTGAAGTGGTTTCCTCCATGGCATTCTCAACACATACAGCTGCATCCAGATTACAAAATGGCCTGGAAAGGGTCAAGCCACAGAACTCCCAGGGGTAGCCTGGGATTTCCCTAGAACCTCCTGTGATGACCCAGTGATTTATCCTGTGTTAAAATGCCATCTTCAGAATATTATGTCCTTGGGAAGCTGATTCAGGAGTCAATCTCCTTCAGGATGCAGAGCCTGTGGTGATTTTCCATTGGAATGCACCTGGTTGGGGCTCCCAAATACTTGATGCCCCTTTTCCTGCTCAGTTCCAAGGGCTTCTCCCTTCTTTTTGTCTCACAGGCAGAATAAGCCCTCAGCTGAGCTTGGACAATTTGTGGCATGTCTGGAAGCACCAGGGTCCCACCTCCTGGGTGGCATTTAAATCCTGGGCACTTCTTACCCTGAAGCAGTGCTGGGGTCCTGGGGGCCCTGGGGACACTGGGGAGGGAGGAGTAGGGTGATAGTGCTGGAGGTGACGGTGACTTGTCCCAGGGAGCACAGGATGATGCTGGAAAGGGTCAGCTAATGGGAGCTGGGTTTGTTTGATAAAATAAGGGAGGAAATTGGGGATTTTCCAAAGTAGTCTGGAAAGGAAAAGGCAAAGAAATCAGAGGGTCAGTCCTGCTCCATGGGAGCAAAGGGCGAGAATCCACAGGAGTGGGTTGCAAGACCCCACATCCACTGCTGACCCTGGACTTTATCCCATCTTCTTCAAAAAGCAAGGATTTGCAGCTTGGTGCAATCTCTGGGAGCTGGAGGGTTATGAGGTGAGGAAGACCCCCCCGGTTACACTGGCAGGGCTCCAACCCACGACCCTAAAGTGAGCTTTAAGATTTGCTAATCTCAAAATATTGTTGGCACTCAGAGCAGTGATTTACTGCGTGTTTTGCCACAGCAAGTA